AAAAATACTTTTATAAATTAAACACTTTGAATGTTACAGGGGTGCACGATATTATCGTCATGGTATCGGTATCGGATGATATTAGCGATAAAGTTAAATATCGGCCAGTCCATCAAAAAAAAAAAAAAAAAAAACCTCACCGATATAAAAGGCTTCTGTTTTAAGTTAATTTTTAATTTAAGAAACTGTCAAGTATATCTATTAATGCACTACTCACTTGTCGCTTGTGAACAGGTTGAGTTTAGATTTGTGGAAATTTACAAACTTGCACCGTTCAAGTGTTGTCATTGTGTTAGAGAGAGTAAATGTCATGAATTAATTTGACATTAAATATAAACCAAGTAAAAATGTTATATCAGTTTCAGTTCCTTTTTGGCTTCTGCATTTGGTAGCAGGCCAAACTGGCAAAGACCATGCAGAATAATGTATTTTAATCCCACAGCAGAGAAAGATGTGTTGTCTCTGTAAGTGGGTCTGGGAAATATCGGTATTGGTATTGGTTATCGGCCAAATAAGTTTTAACATATTGGCATATCGGATATCAGCCAAAAATCCAATATCGTGCATCCCTAGAATGTTACATTATGCAGTCTCATGCGATATCCGTAGATGTCAGGCTCGGAGTATGTTACGAATGACTCTCAGCTACTACCACAAAACATTTAGCTCGATCTCTATCAGACTGGCTGCATTAAAGCAACTTTTGTGTTTGCTAAGGAAAGCTTGTCTTTAGTGGCCATTTTAATTGGATTAACTCCAAAAGTTACTCAGTTGAGTTCAGATGGTTAATAGCAAATTTTTAAACGAAGATTTTGTGCAATGTGTTAGTGCTATAAATAAATATGTGCTGGAGATCAGTCTCCGCTGCCACCACTCCAGATTTTAGGTCAATATCTGTCGAGTTCAAAAAGTTTTGGCTGATTCTGTGTTTTTTAGGTTAGTTACCTGCCTCAACCATCAGATATCTTTAAATCTATCCAGTGGTTCATGAGATACGTTGCTAATTTAAAAGCAAGTTTTATCAAATGGTAAATGTCTCCCAGCTACACTCAACGAGATAACCACTTAAAAACTCTGCCTGTTCATGCTGTGAACATAAGTTGAATATTAATTGCAATACCAACTTCCATTTTGGTGTGTGGCTGCATCTAGGCATAAAAAAGGTTCCTTTCCAAAAATGGGTTGAAGTGTCAAAATCCAAGATCCCCCCCAAAAACAAACAAACAAACAAAATCCTAATCATCATTGGAGGAAAGTATGCTTTTAATTTTTCATTTTGTTTAAAAGTATAGTTTCCTAAAATGATTGGGGTGGCCCTTGCGGTGGCCAAAGATTAATCTAAGGGGGTCAAGGCCACCAATGGCCACCCCCTGGCTCCGCCATTGTGCCTGACGGTGGATAAAATTGCTCCCTCCACACACCAGATCCCTCCTCTGGTCATCTCGAACAGCACAAAAACAAACCTTCCTCTCTTCTTATCCACTCCGTAACGTTTCATTATCTTGCACCAAAAACATTCAGGTTTACTGGCATTGGCTCCAGAAAAACACTCATTTCCAAAACAACAAACATTCACTATTCAAATCCCTCAGACGGGGGATGCTTTTTTAAAACTAGTTTTCAAAAACTTTTAAGCATTGCCGTCAATTTGTCGTTTGCATTTGAACCGAGAGCAATTTAAGTTAGAATTTAAAATCAGATATGGACCAATTCATCGGCTCAAGTTAATCTGTTGTTAAATTTTGTTCATCAAAAATTACACATTAGAAGAAAAAACTATTGGTTTTGGTGTTTTATATCTTCCTTTAGCCGCCCTGACTTAAATCAAACATAAAATCAAATCAGTCGATTTCTATTTCAAATTATATTATTTGGTTTTACAACACAGGGTAGTGTTTTTAAATTACCTTTGTTCGTGTATTTCATCCTAAATACTATTTTGCACTAAAATATAAACTAAAATCAGAAGAACAATTAAAATATGAGCAAAGTTTTTATAAATTTAGGTAATTTTCTTAGTAAAAACTAATAAAAGACACATTTTGACCGTTTACTGCTAAACTTTTGGTTTAGTATTTATAGAAAAGCATCGAGTTAAGCTGTTGTATGAAATATTCACACTTCGAGCTCTTAAATTACGGGATTAAAGCGCACCGGATTATAAGGCGCATTAGGCGAAACCAAAACATTTTGACAGATTTTTGAGCGCCGTGTACCACATAAAATTGGTTCGAGGTCAGTAAGCACAACCAGGATTAATACATGAGGTGCACCAGATTATAAGGCTCACTCCTGATTTTTGAGAAAATTAAAGGATTTAAAGTGCAACTTATAGTCGGAAAAATACGGTACTTCTTGTTCAGAGGTTTGCCATGAAATGGTAATGTTCACCTTGCACATTGGTCAGGACATACTTTAAGAGATTAATAATCTCAATGGATTTCTTTCCTGGTAAAATAAAGCTTTACAAATTGTAAATCTGCGTATATGAACAGAAAAGTTAATTCTTAAGCCACAGAGTTCTGTTTTTCAGAGCAGTCGACTTGTTTTGAACGTTGTTTTTTTATGCGTTACAAACGATCACGTCGATCGTTTTAATTAACACCTGCAGGAGGAATCCTCTGGATACACATGGAATCCAGAAGTACTCAGTCTGTCGTGCAGCTGCTACTTTGCTCCCCCCCCGCTGAAATAATTTGTAGCTGGAAACGCTTACATTGGATCCAACAATGAGACGGGTTCTGTAGATGAAACCGAACTCAGACGGATGTTTGACTTCAGGGCTGAGACGAGTGTGACTTGCTGGGAGTGTCCTGGCGTGGACTCGGAGTGCAACGAGCCAGAGGAGGCTCTCTAGGTAACTCTGTGTTCTGTCGGGTTTTCAGGAGCTGACTTGTCGAGAGGAGCTGCTCAGGTTGCTGCTGTCGCTGCTCCCGCTGGTCTGGAAGATCCCAGTTCAGGAGGAGAAAGCTCCAGGTGAGTGTGGACGACCGCTCCTGAACTTCCTACCTGCGCTTTACGTTGGCATTTTAATGTCGTCACTTGACTGTTTCAAGTTCCCTCGTCGAAAAAAGTACAATTTCTGGTAAATTTCAGGAAACTTTCCAGGTTTAAAAACATATTCCAAATTGGAAATAGGGGATTTAAAGGAATTAACTGGAAATTTGGAGTACTTTAAACAACCTGTATCACAAATCCAAGCAAAAATATAAACTGTGTTTTGTCATGGGCAAATAATTCAGTAAACTTTTATAAGTTCATAAAAGTAAATTTAAACATGACTGATGAGTCTCAGCCGTCTTGAACTTGAAAATGAATGTTTTTTACATTTGTGTTCTTTTAATCTTGTAATCTTTTCTAAATTTATTATTATTAAATTGGTGCCACTTTACAATAAGGCTCCCCTTTATAGATGGTGAATAAATAGTTTATAGATATTTGTTTGTTTTGTTTATTTATTTGTTTATTTAAGGATCCCCATTAGTTTCAAGACACAATAAAATACCCAAGACAAAAACAAATTCACAATATAAAAATTTAAATCAACCATCTCAATAACATTACAAAATGACAAAATACTTTAAAACACATTTAAATTAAAAACGCGACAATTCACCAGTTCCAAAGTTAAACAATCTTCATTTCCATTATAAATTTATAATTTCATCAATTCAGTTTTATTTCATTATCTATTATAGATTTTTTAAGATTCTTTTTAAAACTAACATGATTAGCAATTAATGTAATTACAGAAGGCAGCATGTATACAGTACGTATATGAAGGCAATCATATAAGTGTCTATAGTTGTAGATACTTATAATGCAGTGATAAAGTACAATATTATATCCTAAAAAAATAGGTTTACAAAAGCTTATTGTGCTTACAAGGTAGTAACTTAGTCTGAAAGGTTGAATACAACAACTCTAGATGAAATGTATAGGTGGCAGATTTGTCTCTATTTGGCAACAAACTGGTCAGTTTTGTCTCCGTCACCCTTAATTAATGCATAATAAGCTGTTATTAATGATTTATAAAGTGTTATAGAGAATTAATAATGCATCTATAAACTGTTTATTAGCCATCTATAAGGAGAGCCTTATTGTAAAGTGGTACCGTTAAACCTTTATTTTACCAGGAAAGTAATCCATTGATTATTAATCTCTTTTACAGGGATATCCTGTCTAATGTGCAAAAATGCATTTCATTTATTTATTAATTTATAATTTTATATGCACAACTCTGAACAAAAATATTCATGTGACATGTTTTTTTTGGTCATTGTACTCGCATGAAAGCTAATTGAAAATCAGTAAATAACAAATCACCAAAAAAAATCAATTGAAATGACTAAATACAACACAGAAATTGACGAACGGCAGCCGATCATTTTCGAGGGTATGATACCCGTCATACGGTACGTCACTGAAATCTGGTTGTTTTATTACAGATAAAATCATTTTTCTCCAACTATATTCAAAATCTCTGTTGAGGACAAACCTCCAATGTTTTAAATCCAATATCTTTTGTGTTTATTTCTATAATTTCTTGTTAATTCCCTACAGTTGCCACGGAAAGTTTCCAACTTTGAAAATTCCCTGATTAATGCAACCCAGGTCGCTACATTTGAATTTATTCACGTTCTTTACTGTGTCAACATTCCCTGCAGTTCTTTTAGTCCACACCTGTTGGTTACCTTTATTTGATCCTTTATAATTGTTGCATTTTTTTTAGGCACCTTTTTTTTTAGTATTTTGGCATTATTCAGATAATTTCAGCTGTTTTCAGATAAATTCAAGTTATTTTTGGTAATTTCTGCCACTTTCAGCCCAATTAACTTATTTCTGCTTATTTCAGCACCTTTAAGCTTTTGTCTGCTAGTTTAAGCTTTTTCTGCTATTTCAGGTACTTTTTAGCTGTTTTGCGATAAACGTAGCTTTTTCAACTAATTCCACTTCCTTTCTTGGTAGTTGAAGCTTCTTTCTGCCTTTTCAGCTACTTTTCAGCTATTTTTTGTTGCTAATTTCAGCCTTTTTTAGCTAATTTCCTAATTTTTGTGCTAATTTCTGCTCATCTAAATCTAATTTAGCAAATATGTGGGTTTTTTTTGTTGCTTTCTTCTGCTAACTTAGGCTTGTTCTTCAATTTCAGCTTTATTTCAGCATGTTTTTAGCTAATTTCAGCAGCTTTTCAGCAAGTTCTTCAGCAATAAGCATTCACATTGCATTTTCACAGTAAATGCAGTTTCTCTAGTTGATTTTGAGTTTATTTAGTTCAGCGCTACAGATCTGTGATTGTCATTTTATAGATTTGTCAGTTTTTTGGTTTGCCTTTTTTAACAACTCTTAAGTTATGAATTTTGTCATCAAGCACTTGTGTTGCATTTTGTTCGGTGGGTTTGTGCAAAAGCACTGAGATGTTTTATTTTGGTTTTGATTGGTTTTCTGCCCATCAGTGGTCGATAATAACATGAAATTTTGTAAATGCTGCGCGGTGCGCTTCATTCGTTTTGCAGTTCAGTTATAATTTCTGACCACGTATGAGCGTTTTGATTGAGGAGGAGGAGGTGAGCGGTTGGACGAGCTCGTGACCCAAGAGTGACACCAGCATTTAGTACAGAACCGCTGATCGTCTCTAACGTGGACCTGAGACATTTTTCTGTTAATTAATTTTTGTTACTGGAACTTCTAACAAACGGGCTTTACCACTTGACATGCATCTGAGCGTCAGGCCCCTCACTAGGTGCCTATAACAATATTATCTGTTTCATACCTCTACATTAAAATCATAGCAATTCCTTCAATAAATGCTTGTCACCCGCCACTTTTCCTGCCAGAGTCTTGGACCAAGATAATTTTTTTTGTTGAGAAATTGATTTTTTTCTGTTTTCGTCAGGCGTTGAAAATTTAATTGAAGCTATCACACTATACAGCCTCTTGTTTATCTCGGGGTTTAGAGGACACCCCCCCCCCCCCCCCCCCCCCCCCCGGCATAAGTTGAAAAACTAGGGATAATTGTACAAATCTTAACAGTAGTAAGTAGTAGTTTATTCTAGTATTTATATATAAAGTCTTTATATACCATTCCCATACTCTGGTAATATTCTAAACAATGTTTCTACTAAGCGTTCTAAAAAAGCACAGCATGCCATGATCTCTGTTCTCTGCCACGCCCACTTCTCTGCCACGCCCACTTCTCTGCTGCAATCACACTCGTCACCTCCCAATCTCCCACCTTCTGTGTAAATAAACAATTTAAATTTAAATACTGTAATATTTTAAATAATCATGAATTGTTTATTTAACATATTACAGTATTTAAATTTAAATTGTAGAGAAGAGAAGCGCAGCAGGACAGCAAAGGGTTAACCCCTCACGAAGCCGCTGCAGCACGGAGCAGAAATGTGGGCGTGGCAGAGAGCGGAGATCATGACAGGCTTCAGGAGGGAGCTTCTCCCTGCACCTGTGGGCCGCACACAGGTGCAGCAGGTGCTAAATCATTTAAAATAATTTATTTTAAATAAACGATCCATGGCTCATCCATCAATCAGCCAATTGTGTGTCATGTCCAGTTTTACTTTGAAAAACTGCGAAGTAGCGAGGGACTACTGTATCTGGTCACTCTAAAAAGTTTAGAACTAAATAAGTCTGATTGTTCTCTCTGTTTCTTGACAGATTTCATCCTGCCGTCCCTGCTGGAGGCTTTCCTGAACCGGGACGTGAAGTCCTTCCCTCTCAGAACCGGACAGAAGGCTTCGACAGACGAGCCGAGCTCTGGGAGAAGGACTCGCGTCGGCAGCGGCACGTGGAAGTCACGGCGGTCGCGCAGAACAGCGCAGAGATACTCGGTGAAAGATGCTCGAAGGTCCCAGGTCTCCACCTCAGATTCAGAGGCCAACTCCGAGGACAGAACTGTCCCGGGCTCAGGCGGCGCCAGGAGCCGGCGATCGCACGGCTCCACCCTCCAGGTAAGCTGTCAGCATCATCGCTCGGAGGCGTCGCAGCTAACCTCCACCGCCACCAACACCGCAGAAACCATGAGCGCGCCGTACCCCAGAGCCCCAGGGTCCCAGATGGTGGACAGCGAAACCCTGACAGACCCGGCTGCTGTATCGATCTTTAACCGCATGGAGAACTCGCCCTTTGATCTCTGCCACGTGTTGCTCTCCCTGCTGGAGAAGGTGTGTAAATTCGACATGAGCACTAGTCACAACCCCGGCCTGGCGGTCAGCGTCGTACCGACGCTCACAGAGATCCTGACCGAGTTTGGCGATTGCTGCGGTCCAGGTGGGGGCGGAGGTGGAATGGGAGCGGAGGAGCTCGCCGGAGGTTGGACGGAGGAGCCGATCGCGCTGATTCAGAGGATGCTGCTACGCACCATTCTGCACCTGATGTCTGTGGACGTGAGTCAGAGTGACAGACTTCCAGACAGCCTGAGGCGCAGCCTGACGGACCTGCTGCGGGCCACCCTCAAGATCCGCAGCTGCTTGGAGAGACAGAACAATCCTTTTGCTCCGAGGCCCAAGAAGACTTTGCAGGAGGTCCAGGACGACTTCTCATTCTCCCGTTATCGCCACCGAGCGCTCCTGCTCCCAGAGCTTTTAGAGGGGGTGCTACAAGTGCTCCTTAGTTGCCTCCAGGCTTCGACACCCAACCCCTTCTTCTTCAGCCAGGCTCTGGAGCTCATCCACGAGTTTATCCAGCACCGGGGGCTTGAACTCTTTGAGACCACGGTGCTGCGGCTGGAGGGACTCAGCCGCGCCCGAGACTCGGAAGTGGGAAGAGAGGCTTCGGAGCGGTTACGTGGCCTCGTCGCGGGGGTCTTCAAAATAATCAGCGCTGTCAAGAAGGCGAAGTCAGAACAGCTGCATCAGTCTGTGTGCGCCCGCCGCCGCCACCGTCGATGTGAGTACTCCCACTTCCTGCATCACCACAGAGACCTGTCCGGTTTGCCCGTCTCTGCGTTCAAACAGACTGCGAGACGCAACCCGTTCGAAGAGGAAGAAGGCTCCGAGGGGGACGGCGTGCGTTACCCCGAGCGCTGCTGCTGCCTGGCGGCCTGCGCCCACCAGTGCCTGCGGCTCCTGCAGCGCCTGTCGCCCAGCGGGCCGGCGGTGCTGCAGGTGTTGGCAGGAATCCAGGCCGTCGGAATCTGCTGCTGTATGGACCCTCGTTCAGTTGTAGGACCCATGCTGCACGCCTTCCAGGCTCCAGGTCTGCGCAGCTACCAGTCTCACGTGCTCAGCGTGCTGGGAAGGCTGGTTTTAGACCAGCTCGGTGGGGGTCAGCCGTCTGAGAAAGCCAAGCTCGCTTCGTGTAACATCTGCACTCTGGACAGCAGCCAGCTGCCAGGCCTGGAGGAGACTCTGCAGCAAGGAGAACCTTCGGCTGTTCCTACTACTTTACGTTACCGCTCCCAGGGTATTCTGCCCAGCGGAGGGGGTGCAGAGGACATGCTGTGGAAGTGGGATGCTCTGGAGGCTTATCAGGATCTGGTGTTCGGTGAGGACCAGCAGCTGAGCCAGCAGATAGCTGGCCACGTGTGTCACCTGACCCTGCGGGGCAATGCCATCGTGCAGTGGCAGCTGTACACGCACATCTTCAACCCTGTGCTGCAGAGAGGGGTGGAGCTGGCCCACCACGCCCAGCAGCTGGGGGTTTCTACCGTCTGCACCCAGGTCTGCAGCTACCACGCACAGTGCCTGCCCGTGGAGGTCCTGCTCATCTACCTGCAAACGTTACCAGCACTTCTTAAATCGAGGTGAGACATTGTAGTTTTACATCGCACAGCTAAGACCGCCAAATGTAGCTGAAATTTCCCTCGAGATAAATAATTAGTTTTCCTCAGCGACACGAGACGTAAAACATAATCCGCTCACAGCCGGATACCTTATCTACCCAGACAGGGTCTGTCATCCGATCTGTCCTTTTGGGTCATTGCTAATTGATGCTAATCAATAATTTATTATCGCGCTGAGACCGGAGTAAAAGCTGGAAAATGATCAGCTCTTTATGTAACACGGTCGTCACGTGTTTCTTGTCCATTAACTGCGTTTTCCAAACGCAGCCAGAAACATTTTATGTCGGTTAATTCACACAAACGGTCCAAAAAATGTAAGTTTGAGTTTTGATATGTTTTTTTTTTCACATCAATATTTGTGATAAATTGTTAAATAAGTCTAAATGGTTTCCCACCTCCAGCCCAGTGCATGCTGGAACATTAGATGGTTTATTTACATTTTCACAGGAGCTCTTTTTGTTTTGTGTCCGTGTTTGAAACTCTGTTGTCGTAGCCACTGATTTAGTTTGATCTGGTTGTTCTGCAGCCGTAAACACAACAGGTACCTGAACTCAGCACGGATATTTCAGTCAACTTTATGGTTGTTAAATAAATGTAAACAAAAAGTTTTATCTGCTAAACTGAATGTAAATTACTTTCAAATAAACTGCGGTCTGGCTCCGCTACCATGGTTAACCAATGCTTACTGCTACTTCCTGTCTGACAGGAAGTTGTTCCCATAATCATCGATACGGCAGAGACCCCAGGAATAATGTGGATATAAGAAAACCCATTGAAACCATAAAAGTAAACTATCTTTACTCGTGGAAGTCTGCGGGTGATAAAAGACAGTGTCTTTAAAGCAAGACTATCAACGCTCAGCTTGAAGTAAATCTGTTGTTTCTACAAACAAAACAAATAAAATCTTTCATGCGTTGCCTCAATATGGGCCATGTTAAAGTCTGACACCTGTTGGATTAACACCTCGTCACACAGGTAAAACGATGCATCGTTAGCGTCCTTTGTAATATTTGTTCTGGTCTTATTATTAAACACGAATCTCAACGTTGTCAGTCGTTCTTGGACTGTTAAACTAATGAAGTGAATTCCTCATGTCGAGGTCAAAAGGTTAAAGTTATTCCTGAATCGCCTCTGAGCAGGTCACAGGTACGAACAGACGGCTCCATCTGCTGGGCCAGCCAAGTCGGTCAGGTGATTATCCTGTTTGATAAGACCAAAATAAATGTTGAATTTAAAAGTGCAAGTTTGTCCTCGCATGCGTTTAGCTGACATGGGTTCATTCGGTAACACTAAACTGTTATGTTCAGGTAACCAAATATTTTGTCGTCTTCAGTCTCTGAATTGAGTGAAAACCATTTGGAGATAAGAAGAAAGTTTAAAAAAAAAAGGATTTGAACCAGGAAAGAAATACCTACATCCTAATTTTTGTTGTTTTAGCTCATGCACCAAGCCGAAGACGACACTTTTATTTCTGTTCACATTGAGATTGTGTTTGTACTTGAGTTTGTAACTGCAGTTAATTTCAGGGTTTTGTTTTATAATTAAAGCCTCGTTTGGAAAACAAAAACATTTTTCTAATTTAAAAAGGTAAAAGTGACTAATTCAGAATCGTATTTTTGAATCTGTACGTCGTGCTTTTAAAAAAAAACACTCAACAGGAGGACGAACATTTGTGTTAAAGAAGGCAGAAGTTTAAACTTTTGAGAAATAAACCTCTATAAACAGCTGCTGTGTTCTTGATCAATTTTATATCTATGTAATTTTTATTTGTTAGTTTAAGTTGTCATTAGATTCAAATAAAGTAAAAAAACAAAAAAACAATTACAGTACATTTACCCCAAAACAACAGTTTTTTAGTTTATCTACTGTATTTTTCGGCCTACAAGTCGCGTTTTTTGCATGTAATAGGTAAAAGTGGCTATTAATGACACGATCAGCTTGCCATAGCCTGCCACCTTCGTCCAGCTCTGGAATCGTGCCTGGAACAACCGTCAAATCAGCTTCATTTCGCTGCACCTCCCCGGTGAAATGCAGCTAATTTGACCATTGAAATGCATTTATTAAGTAAAAGTTTAACTAAGACACACCTTTACTATAATGTCGCGCAAACAAATAATTGTTTTTAGGTGTTTATCTTGTTAAGTTTTGAAGAAATGCACAGCGAGTCCTCCCTCTGCGCGCTCCCACTTCCGCGAGTCGGCTTTTGAAACGCAGCTGATTTGACCGTCAAAGTGCATTTATTAAGGCAAGTTTAGACTGAGACACACCTTTGCTACAATGTCGAGCAAACAAATAATTGTTTTAAGTGTTAATCTTGTTCAATTCTTGTTAAAGTCCTCCCGTGCATGCTCCCGTGGCCACCATTTGGCAGCCGATCAATTTTTAGCACACCAGTCCACATTTCCAGGTTGTCAGCGATGACGCCTAATAAATGTGACTCATATGGCAAAGCCATGTATTTATGTTTTTTTTTTCTTTTCACTTAGACATATTTGGACTGATGCGACGTGTACGGTGGAAAATACGGTAATTTGATTAGAAAGTGTAATATCCGAGAAAGTTGCTTTAAGTGTCTGCAGAGAAAATTAACTCCAAGATGCTAACTAAAAGTTAAGACGCTAGATGCTAACTGAAACAGAAACCTTTAAACGCCAACTAAAAGTAGCAAAAGAGTAGCTAAAAGCTGTAAGTTTGTTAGCTTAAAATAACAAAACACTAGCTAGGCTAGCTAAAACTAGCAGACAGCTAGGAAAAAGTAACAAAAGGAGTTAAAAACTAAAAGGAGCATAATACATACAAGCTAAAAGCTAAAAGTCATAGAGTTAACTGAAAAAACACCTTAAAATTAAAAGTAGCCACATGCTAGCTAATAGTAGCAATAGTCTGTTGTAAAGTAGCAATAGGCTAACTAAAAGTAGCTAATTTTGAACAAAAAGTAACACAGTGCTAGCTAAAAGCAAAAGGCTATCCAAAAACAGCTAAATGTCAGCTAAAAGCTACAAAAAGCTAAATTCTAGCTAAAAACTGGAAAAGGCTAGTTGAAACTAAAAGTAGCTGAGTGATTTGAGCAGTTATGAAAGTTATAAAGTTAAATGTTTTAAAACATATTAATGTTACAACCAAATGTGTCCTCAATGAGCTGAAGGTTTTGTTTACTGCACAGCTAAAAAAACACAAAGTGTGAATTCTGAATTGGCATCGGCGCAATCGTTTCTTTGGGCGGGCAGCCAAATTCTACCTGACGGCAATTTCTTTGAAAAAGACGAAAATCTTTAGGGTTTAACTTCAATGCATCATAAATGTTTGTATTTCCTGGTTGCAGGGTGGTACGAGGCCTTTTCATCAGCTGTAACGGGCTCAACCAGGTGACGGAGCTCGTGTACCTGGACCAGACCCGGTCTCTGGCCTTGAAGGTGTTTGAAACTCTGATAATAGGTATCGGACCTCAGCAGGCTGATGGAGTTCTCCAGGAACTGGAGGGTGCTGATACCAAAGACAGGGAGGCCGCCCTATGTCTGGCTGATGAACTGGGGTCCCGAGGGGTCGGGGAGGGTCCGCAGAGCCTCAGCAAGTTCTACGAAGGCCTGAAGGAAGCATATCCGCATTGTAAAAGCCATAGTGGGCAGGGTCGTGGGCCAGGGAGCAGCAGAACGGAGATCCACCTCCACGTTATCAACCTCTTCCTATGCGTGGCCTTCCTCTGCGTGAGCAAAGAGGCCGACTCTGACCGGGACTCCGCCAACGACTCTGAAGACACCTCAGGTTACGACAGCACAGCCAGTGAGCCTCTAGGTGGGCGGCTGCCCTACCTGTCCCCAGACAGCGTGGCCTTGCCCTCCAAAGAGCAGCTGCGGCGCGCTGCAGATGTTTGGTCGGTGTGTCGGCTGATCTACATGGCCAGCCCTTTGTTCCAGAGACAGTTCTTCAAGCTCGGAGGACTGGACGTGTGCCTGCGCCTCATGACCATGGTCATCCAGAAGCTCTCCTGTAAAACAAAGGACGGCAAAGCAAAGAAGAAGAGAGACGGTAGAGGGAAAGGCAGCCCCGAGTCCACGGTTCCAGCTACCTCGCTCGGACCTGAGGAGACCCCTCGTGATTCATCGGACGTTCACGTTGCAGGACTAGGTGAAGGAAAAACCAAAGATGTTGCAAAGAAGCTGGAAGACGAGTGGCAGCTACAAAGTATTCGTCTCCTCGAGGCCTTGCTAGCTATCTGTCTGCACAGCGCTAACTCCGCCATGCAGAGGACAGAACCTGAGCTTTCATATCAGGTATGCTTATATCTAAAATCCAGTTTTCCTTGAACACATCAACCATTATTCAACCAGTAATCTGTTCCGTTTGAACGTTTTTCCAGCTTCAGTCTGTTGAGGACACCTTGTTGGAAGTAAGAGACCAGCTGTCTCGCTCAGGGGTGGTGAACTCCGACCTCGCCGTCCCCCTGTTTGACTCTCTCCTGCGAGTGGCCTTGGCTGAGGCGTCTTCGTGTGCGGATGTTACCGAGGAGAAGCCAGACAGGGTGAGTCCTGCCCCGGATCCGGTGTCGGCAGCTGCATCAGTTTTTATAGTTTAAAGTTTCTCATTGGATTTTACACACCAGGTTCAAGGTCACTTAGAGGTTATTTTGTAAATAGCAAATTACCATTTTTGATCAATAAAACAGAGAAAACGGCAGCTAAAAAAAATGACACATCAACTAGAGAAAATGCATTTCCTGCGAAAACACAGTGAAACATTCACACTGTTATTTTCAGTAATCAGGTCTTCAGTAATGCTGAAGAACCTGCAGCTGACAGTAGCTAAAAACATGCAGAAATGGAAGAGCAAGCCTAAGTTAGCAAAAGAAAGCAGAAAGAACACATATTTACTGAATTAGGTTTAAATGAGCAGAAACGAGCACAAAAATTAGGAAATTGGCTACAAAAGCTAAAATTAGCAACAAATAGCTGAAAAGTAGCAGAAAAGCTTAAATTACCAGAAGTAAGTGGAAGAAGCTGAAATGAGCTAAAAAAAAAGTGTAATTGACTGAAAAAGCTCAATTTAACACAAAAACTGTTAAAAAGTAGCTGAAATAGAAGAAAAAGCTGAAAGGAGCATAACAAACTGAAATTAGGCAGAAAGTAGCAGGAATTACCAAGAAAAACTTAACTTTATCTGAAAACAGCTGAAATTGGCTAAAAAATAAGTAGCTGAACAGGTAGAACAAGCTTAGCAGAAGGAAGCAGAAAAAACATGTTTGCCCAGTTAAGCTGAAAGAACCAAAAATGCACAAAAAGAAGAAATTATCTGATAACAGATGAAATTAGCAACAATACAGCTGAAGAGTAGCTAAAAAAGCCAAAAGAAGCTTAAATTAGCAAAAGGAAGTGGAGAGAGCACAATTTTGATGAATTAGGCTGAAAAAAGTTTAAATGAGTACAAAAATGTAGAATTTGCTCCAAAAGCTTAAATTAGCATAAAACCCGTTAAATAATAGCTGAAATAGTAGAAAAACCTGAAACTTGCAGAAATAAGCTGAAAGGAGCGTAACATGCTGAAATTAGCAGAAATAAGTTAGAAGAAGCACAAAAATGTTGTAGTTCGCAGAAAGAATTTTAAAGGAGCACAGAACAGCTGAAAAAACAGCTGAAAGTAGCTGAAAAAAAGCTAAAGTTGCACCAACACCAAAAGTCATAGCAGGCTTGTCCTGAAAGAGCTGAACGTTTTGATTTATGATTTGACGAAGTAGCTTGAAAACTGCGGGACGAGAATCGTGCCAAAAAATGTACAGAAGAAAAATGTATCACAATAGAGCGAATGCTTCACGAACATTCACGATAAAAACACTCAGATTTATTTAAGAGGTTGTTCCGACGACGATTATGACTCCGGATGTTTTGTTGCGTCGTCAAACTCACGGAACGCCTCGTATCTCTGCCACATTTTACCCAAAACAAAGAACGCGTCAGTTCAGTTTAACAGACGGTCCCGGTGGGTGAACGTACAATTTAGTCATAATTCATTCTTTTTTTAATGTAACTGAAATATAGTGCGTAATATTTTGAGCATTTACTTTAGGACCATGGGGGGGAAAGTTCTCTAATTTCATTTAGATCTAGATGAGATAGATTTGGTTTTGATTCATTTGATTTCTCCCCAGTTTCATCTCTCTTCTGTGCTTTTGTCTATTTTTAACCTCGTTCCCGCCGGCCTCCACATGGACTTGTTCTGCCACGTGAGAACTAGAAAATTGGAATAAATCACACAATTCGAAAAGCACTAATAATCACAGGATTTATTTATTTTTCCTGCGTGTCGTTCATCATCCAGTAAAAACTGTGTCGTAGAGAAACGATGATTGCTGAAATGTGCGTAGCTGACGTTTTTGACTAAAACAAACCTGACAAGTCAAGTTTTACTAGAACATTTCAGAACATTTTTGTAGTTGAATCTTAAAATCAACAAATCAAACACCTGCATTCTGATTTATGAACTGCATAGGAAGAGTAAAGAGACTCAAGATCAACAGAAATGTTAAAGCAGCTGAAGTTGGCTTATTATGGTCACCATGGTAACCGCACACCTGTGTCCGTCACTCCCTGACCGCTAATATGAGAGGCAGACATAAAACAGACTGAAAAGTAAGCCTCAAACAAACGGTCGCTGCGTAAAAACTATAAGTATCTTAAAAATTCTTAAACGTGAGCGCAAGAAGACGTGATGGTCACATGTGAATCTTTATTTTTCTATTATTTTGTAACGTATGAGATGTAATGAGTTTAAAAAAAAAAACCTTTCTAGTTTTGAAGAGAATGATTTGAGCTAAAATTCATTTTTACTACACGCAAAAAAAGTTTTACAATAATATAATAATTACTAATTATTGTCAAATTTCAAACGATATTATCGTTTGTCGCAATAGTTTCTGAGGCAGTCGCTCAGCAAAATCTGTTATCGTGACAGACCTGTGTACGTTGTTTAACAGCGAGAGACGCGCTGGGTGAAAGCAGACAAAAATACCTTCATTTTGAGGTAGAATTGTATTTTTACTGAAAAGAGTTATGGGAGCAACAAAGACTTGAACATTTTAGACAACTCATTAGTTAGTGACATCATCAACTGTTGGCTGAACATTCTGAGAAAAAAACCCTGTAAAATTCATCAAGCTAAACTGTGACTGTGTAAAAATGGTAAAAAAATGTCAACTTGCCAGTTCAGATACTTTCTGTGACCCGTTTAAAACTTGAAGGATGTTCCTGCTGAGGAGTTCGCCCGAGTTGCAGAGCTCTAAAGAGAGCAGGGCCGTCTCGTCGGTTGCACCAAAATCCCCTTGATTTGCGTTTATTTTCTCACTTTTCCTGTGAATTCTGTCTTCAGTGTCACTAACAAAAGCCAAAACAAACTTTCCCTCGTTGTGTATTATTTGCAAGTTTTATTTCAAAGCTGCACAATTGGCACCCTTAATAAGTAGTGTTTTTTTTTTTTTTTTTGTATGAAAGGAGCATAAAGTTTCCAGTTTTAATTTCACTTCATTGGCTCCCTGTCAAGTCCAGAATTCAAAATCTTACTTCTAACCTACAAAGCCCTCAACGACCTAGCTCCATCTTATATTACTGATCTTATTGTTCCTTATTTTTCTAACAGAGTGCTTTGCTCTCAGACTGCAGGTTTACGTGTGGTTCCTAGAGTTTCCAAAAGCAGAATGGGAGGAAGATCTTTTTCACCAACTTCCAGTTTCTTTCCCGTGAGGCAGACACATGTCCAGTTTTAAGACTGGGCTTAAGACTTTCCTTTTTGATGAATCCTATAGTTTGAGTTGGCTTGTTATGCTGCTATAGGCTTAGACTACTAGAGGACAAATTGACCTCATTCCTTAAAATTAATAGTTACAAATGCGTAAAAGTGAATAGTTTTCATTTGAGACTATTTCTATCTTAACGTGATTCTTGACCTGCCATTGTGTATCTATTCCTCTCAAACCCAGCCGGTTGAAGCAGATGGCCGCTTGTCCTGAGTCTGGTTCTGCTAAAGGAGGGGTCTGCAACCTTTACGATCAAAAGAGACATTTTTACACCTTCGTTCACTAAATTAAGTGTTCAGAGCCGCAGCGACCTGCTGACTGTGATTATCAACTGGTGGCCCATGGGCCACTTTAGGCTTGGCTTTTGTTCCCAGTAGGAGTGACATAAAAATATCAATAAACGTTAAAAATCATTACATATTTTCAGCTTTTAACATCATTTAATTTAAGATAACTGAAAAGACCAGATTCTCGTAAGGTGGGGGGGTCGGGAGGATAGTTACAAAAATACTATGCAGACCTATGTGATTTTTTTTTTTTTTTTTATTGTGGAAAAATTTATTTAGTAAAGAGAAAAAAGTATAAAGTTAGTATGTTTTAATCCTCGTACTAGTTCCAGCGTTCACATATTTGCAAATGACAAGAAAACTGCTAAAACTAGTTATTTGTTGTTGTTGTTTGTGTGACGACCGATAAAATTCAGTTTTGGTCAAAGCTTGAAAGAGCCACTGCAGAGGGGCCGCATGTGGCTCCAGAGCCGCAGGTTGCAGACCCCTGTGAGGGAGTCTTTCCTTCCCACTGTCGCCTTCATGCTTGCTCAAGATGAGAGTTCTGAGATGGAGTTAAACTCAAAGCAGTCTGCTCCTCGGATAAATAATATTAAATGATTATTTTTATATATGAACGTTTCTGTTCGGTGCCCTGAGACGACTTCTGTCGTGACTTGGCTCTTTATAAATAAACTGAATTAAAGAGGACAAAGCAAGTTTCCAACCAGCATTACCGTATCTTCCCACCATGTTGCTGCGTGTCTGTTATCTGCCTGTTGAACAGTAGAAACACTTCTCACATTTTTATGTTGGTCACGTTGCTGCCGGCTCTGTTCAGGTTTTTAAATTTTTTTTTCCCAAATATTCAGACCGTCAAATATTACGACCCAGCTTTGCTCCTGGGAACGAGACGAGCACTAAAAGGTGTTTGAAGATGATATCTTCCCTTCACGTTGCTGCCTCGTACTGGACGCCCCCCCCCCCCCCCCCGTCTCGTAGCCTTTTCGTCCTAGATGCGTCTTAAAATGACCGTTCGCCTCTTCCTGGTCCAACGTTTCCAAAGAGCTCTTTCCCTGTAAGCCCAGCAGAGTGTGATGTTCACTTGATCGTGACAAATATGTGCAGCAAAGATCCAATTTTGGACTTTCACAACAGTTTATCTACTGGACCTTTGCCACCAACAACTAGCTGTCAATGCTGGGATGTTTAACCTTTATGTGTCGTTTTGCTGTTACAGGGTTTAGTTTATTTAATTATTTTAAGTGTTTTACGAGTGGTGTGGTTTTGCCTTCGTACCGTGGGTGCACACAACAAGGAACTGGGCTGTGTGAATGCCGCGCAGGTCAGCTGATATTTGTCTTATGACCAAAATGTTGCACTTCTTTCCCCTCTTGTGTTTTTATTCACCGCGTAAGCGTAAAGAGCGCTGCTTGTCATGCTGGATTTACTTGAGCATTAAAAGCACTTGATTTCAGGATCTTCTTGGTAAGCTTTTTACAACATTTTTTGTTTCTCGCCAAAATCACAAGGCGTGGGTCTGGCTGTAGTTGAAGTGCCTGCCGTTGAGAGTCCGCTCGCCATCGTTATCTTTGTTTGTTTGTTTGTAGAAGCTCCAGGTGTTTGCCGAGGGGGCGGCCCCAGCAGGCGATCTTTCTGAGGAGGTGGATGAGGCGCAGAGCTGCAGCGTCAGGCTCCTGGGGGAGGAGGAGGGCTACGACGCTGATAGCGAAAGCAACCCGGAGGACATGGCCAGGCAGGAAGAGGGTAGGTCCACACTCACAGGCTCCTTCTGGTTACTATAGCCACAAATCCTCACACTTTTCACTTCAGATTAATTTTTTTTGACGTTGGGTTTTATTTTAGAAACACTAAATCACTCGAGGTCCTCTTGTCTGCTCCACGTGTTTTTGTTAGCGATAAACGTCATCAAACTAATCTAGACTGATTGGGAGGTCATGTGCTGCGCTCAACCTCTAAACCTGTTGATTCTTTTGGGTCTTGGGAAATTTTGTTTCTCACTCAGTGGTTTTGTTGAATTGCTTTTCACGTTCCAGTGTCCAGAGTTGAGCTGCTTGTTGGGTTTTTTTGGTGCCGGCAAAACGGGCCGGTTGATTTTAGTCAAAACAAGAAGCCCAACATCCTCCTTTGGTGGCTTGTAGAAGATATTTAGCAATAAGAAGTTGCTTGTTTTTAATGACATGGCAGAAAAATGGCCTCTGCAACCTCGTAGTTCAACGATGTAGCGTGATTACGCTCTTTTTACTTCAGTACTTTGAGAATGGAGCCATTGTTTTAGGCTCTTACAACTGCTGGCAGCAAGACTCTTTGGCCTCATAAGCTTTATCTTGTGACTTGACGTCTCAGATGAAGACTTGAGATTTCTTGAAACTTCTTGCATAACATAAAACGAGTAACATTCGCTTCATTCAGGAAAAATCTGAAACAAATTCAGTTATTTCTAGCTAGTAAAGTGCAGTTTTTTTTAAGTATTTTATTTCATTTTCTGTTTGGTTCGGTTTTATATATAAATCAACTGTAAATTTTGGATTATCTGTGAAAATGTAGAGTTCTGAATGACAGCTGTAGGAGCTGATAGCTAAATTTAGCAAAACCTTGCTTAAAGATCAAAGTAGCTTAAAGCTAGCACAAACAAAACAACTAAATGCTGTTTAGAAGAATTAAGAAGCCAATTGAGAGCTAAAAGTAACAAAACATCAAAATTAATTAAAGCTAAAAGATTAAAGATTAAAATTAAAGTTAAAAGATTAGATTAGTAAAATGTAAACTTAGCAAAAAGCTAGTTAAATACTAAAAGTAAGAAAAAAATACCTAAACTCTAGAAATAGTAAGACAGGCTAAAATTCACAAAACATGACCAAAACCTAAAAGTAGCTAACTGCTAAGATAAAACAAATTGCTAGTTGAAAGCTAAAATTAGTGTTTGTTAACTTTTTAGCCAAAAGCTTAAAGTAGCAAATGGTTAGCTAAAACCTCAATGTAGCTAATAGATAGATAAAAATTAAAAGTAACAGACGGCTAGCTACATTTGGCAGAACGTTAGCATTTAATAAAGTTAGCATTACTAGCAAGGGAGTGGTGGCGCGGAGGTTAGAGAAGGCGACCTTGTGATCGGAAGTCGCCGGGTCAACTCCTTGAACCGACAACGTCAAAATTTGGTTGGAAAGGTGAAGCACCCACACCAGCCTCCACCCTTATTTGCCCCTTTCTGGGCTCTTGAGCAAGGCCCTTAACCCCCACCATCTGCTCCCCCGGGCGCCCAAGATGGCAGCTCTCTGCTCTACACAGAGAGCTGTGGTAGCTCGGTGGTCTGTGGTGTCGTCAGGAAGGACATCCGGCGTAAAAAATAATTGCTAAGGCTTCTTGCGAGTTAGTTGGCTGGTTGGCTGGTTGGCTGGTTGGTTGACTGGTTGGTTGGCTGGTTGGCTGGTTGGTTGGCTGGTTGGTTGGTTGGTTGGTTGGTTGGTTGGCTGGTTGGTTGGCTGGTTGGTTGGTTGGTTGGCTGGTTGGTTGGCTGGTTGGTTGGCTGGTTGGTTGATTGGTTGGCTGGTTGGTTGGTTGGCTGGTTGGTTGGCTGGTTGGTTGGTTGGTTGGTTGGTTGGTTGGTTGGCTGGCTGGTTGGTTGGTTGGCTGGTTGGCTGGTTGGTTGGTTGGCTGGTTGGCTGGTTGGTTGGTTGGTTGCAACCCCTGAAGAAGGGAAACAAGTGTGCATGCTTAAATTGTGAGTCATTCCACATTTTTTCATGTCCAGTTTCTGGTTTTCTCTCGCTGGTCTCTTCTGTTTCGTCTCGTCTGTCTCGGTGTTGTCAGACTGTTACATATTCGTTGGAGTAAGATTCCTGGGACTGCTCGGAATCGAGGCATTTTTAACAAACAGGAAAACTTTGAGGTTGCTCGCTTTAATTAAACCACAGACCAAACCTAATGGGCAGAACTACGGGGCGTTAAGTGTGGCGGGAAATAACCGTTTATGTTTTTGGGTTAGACTCTAGACTTTCAAGCTTCTTTTGAAGGAGACGGACCAAATGAGATTAAACTGAGACCTCCAGTCTGACGGCCTAATTATAATGACTGGACCCGCGATCTGACGCAGATTCTCAACTTATCTCACCCCTCAGGCCCTAAGTGTGCTGCCGGTTCTTCCTGAAGGGCAGTAAAGTGACAATAAAAGATTATTCTGTGTTTTATTAACAAACAGCTTTTTGTGCTGCTCGAATTTGTTCATCGATGACGTCAAACTCACAACTCTTTGTCATCAGCTTTATTTACTAATGTGGTTCAGATTTGCTTAAAACTTTTTAATATTAGGTTTTATATTTTCAATCATTTAGTCTCCCTACAGTGACTCAAGCAGCAATAAACTATTTTAATTTTAAAATAAGAACATGGGAAATTATTTTGTCTAATGAAAGGTGAACAATCATGGCAAATGAAAAAAAAAATCTAGCCGTCAAAAGCCTCGAGGCAAAATGGTTCATTTCTACTTTGCATAAAAATTAGGGATGCACGATATTATCGGCATGGTATCGGTATCGGCTGATTTTAGCGATAAAGTTAAATATCGGCCATTCCATCAAAAATAACTCACCGGTATAAAAGGTGCTTTTTATTTGTATGACTGTTCAAGTGTCATTGTGTTAGAGAAAGTAAATGTCATGAATAAATTTGACATTAAACATAATCCAAGTTGAAGTGTTGCATCATTTTCAGCCCCTTTTTGGCATCTTCATTTGGTAACAAGCCAAATTGACGAAGACCGTGCAGAATAATGTAGTATTTTAATTCCACAGCAGAGAAAGATGTGTAGTCTCTGTAAGTAGGTCTAGGAAAAAATATATATCAGTATTGGTTATCGGGCAAATAAGTTTTAACATATCGGCATATTGGATTTTGGTCAAAAATCCAATATTGTGCATCGCTAATGAAAATGCTTTGTTTGTGTTTATTTAGTAAATGCTGTGTCGAAACCCCTTAAGCAAAAATATGTTTGATTAATGGCAGCATGTGCATTTTTACTCGAACCATAATATTTAAGTTTGGTTAGTTAAAATGTTTAGTCTCTCACGTGGTAATCTTTGTGCCCAAGTTTATGTTTGGTAATGCACAACAACATAAATGCAAGTCAGAAATCATGTCACGGATATTTAAACAGTTGGAAATGATTAATTAGTCATTAGTTACCGTTAATTAGTGTAGTCAAGAAGTTTAAACGAGATTTAAAAAATGCTAAATGTGTTAATGTTACCTGGTGGTACACTGTAGATGTGCGTCAGGAAGCTGGTGGTCATAAAGGAGGTCCTGCTGTGCTGCACTTCTGTAAATCACGAGGGAACTCCCTCGTATCTGAAGCACTGTAACCACATGTTTTATGACCATTTTAAACGTCTCCACGTTTTGCTGCGTCTCCCATCTTCCCGGCTGACTTGTTGCTTTCTCAAGGGGGGAAGGTGGAGCCGGCCGGGCTGTGCGAGTTCGCTGCGGCGGACGGGCCGGGGCGTGGCGTGCTGCTGTTCCCCGAGATCTGCTCGATGGAGCTGCAGCTTCTTGCCTCCGGCTCCCCGGACCTGGAGGTTCTCGGCCACGTGTTTCACAGCCTGCTGGGTGCAGTGCGTGCCAACTGCCGCAATGCTGCTTTGCTCTACGACCAGGTCAGACTGAATACTTCTTCCTCTTTGTCCTAATTGTCGCCTTTAATTGTCTTTCTTTTAAAAAAAACTCATCCTGTTGCTCTGATTTCTCACAGGCAGGCGTCAAAACAATCTTAAGTGGCTTCCACAGCATCCTCAGTCAAACAGACCCCTCCTTTACAGGTTGGTTGTCTTATCTGTCTCAACATGATTTTATGGGTGGCATCGCATGAAAAATGCGGCTTGGCCTCCAGAATTCAAGTGTAATGTTTAGATTGGCTACTTTTAGTAATTCATGGGAAAATCTGTACTCGCATGAGTTTCTGGGGTTTAACTCTTTGAACTTTGAGCTACAATTAATATGACTAAATCAACTTAATATATGTCAAAGCTTTACTTTCTGAAATAAACCTCAGATTTTTTTTCAGTCTTTATATTTTTAGGTTTGCACTTTTTTCACGTACTTGTGTTTTCTCTGCTCGAATCACTTTATTTACCAACTTCTAACGGTTTTGAAATAAAACATGCGGCTTAATTAGACAAACTGTATCATTCGTCACCAAACTTTATTAAACAGTCGTCAATGAACTGTGAGGAAAAGTATAACGGAGACGAAGGGGATTTTGGCGAAACACGAGTATTTAAGCTCTACAGCTCGGACATATTTCTCAGTGGAAACATCAAAGTTTAAACGGGTCGCTGATTACTTAACTGGCATTTTGATTTGTGCCAGTTTGATAACGTTGTTTACCTCGAAGACCCACACTCAAAGGCAGGAGAAGATTTTTAATCAGCATTTTACATGCAATGACCCATTCAAAACATACTTGGATACATAAAACATGGA